GGTGGTGATGGCTGGGCTACAGGCATGTTGGCCTGTATCGTCACAAGCTGACTAGGGAACTGTATGCTCTCAGTACTTTTGCAGGGCATCTGGCTGGTACATTTGTAGACTGAACTGCGCGTGTCTGTCAGCGCACCACAGGACCGAACCCGTGGATAGCATCAACAGAATGCAGCAGGGGAAGGAGTGGGTAGACAGACATGATCACCAGGTATCTTTGGCAGGAAATGAAGAAAGTAGACGGAGAAAGTAGGGCTAAAAAAACACATTTTTACAATGAATGATTTAATTTTTTGCATTTATATGCATTTATATACATTTAATCGATTATATTTAGTAACTTGCATAACTCCTCATTTAAAAATTCCTGCTTTTTGTTAGGCCCGGGGTTCTTCTTTACTGATATCCTCTCTTTGTTGCAGATACAAGATGGCAGCTGGCACAAGACACAGTTCACGTTTCATACGCACGAAACAAACCAACTTCCTGTCGTTGAAATGTCCCGATTGTCTCCTCCCCAGAAAGGACAGCATTACATAGAGAACGGTCCCATCTGCTTCCTCTGAAAGCAGTGCAGATGCCTTGAGGGCAGCTGCTTAGAGCAAGTCTCTTTTCTATAAAGAGCATTAAAATTTAAGAAGATAGCAGTTTTGGCAACTGCGTCACGAATCAATGTGCGATCTTCTAAAGAAGCCAGAAGAGACTTCCTCCTAAGAAGGATGTGTGGCATTTTAGAAAGAACTTCAATATTGATAGAGTATTTAATTTTTTTTTTTTATAATCATTGGTGTTTTGTTTTTTTAATTAATAAAACTTTGAATTTGAATCAAGTACTTTGAAGACGAACAAGTGAAAAGCACTGTACAAGTCACCTTCGAGGAAGCAGTTAGCTTGCCTGGGAGCAGTACTGGTTACGGCTCCAAGAAGTGCAATAACATGGTTGAAAGGTAATTTTCCTGTTCATTGACTCCTTTTTTTGGGAGGAGAGAGTCAGCGTGCCCAGTGACAGCAAAGGGATGAAACACTAAGTCGGATTCTGGTCCTTTGTGGACAAATACCTCTTTAGGTGATACCCTACCTCTTACGTGTTGCCTGGTGCTTCTAAGTGTTCCTGTAGCCCAGATTGGAGGAGGTTGTTTTTGCTGCCTAGAGAAATATCCAAGAAGCAAAGACACCAAGGTGCAAATGCCTCTGATGCCGCTCATTTAATCAGCACACCCAGCATCATTTTCAAAAACGTTGTCCCCCACAAACTTTTCACATAGTGAAATATCCAGCCTATGAAATGTCTAGGACCTAGTTACATCACTGTACCATGGTGATAGGCCTAGGGGACACCTGCAGGGGGTGCAAAGTGGGCCATGAGGTCAAGTGAGCCCATTCATGATCAACACTTTCCTTTACCTACCAACTCTGTGCTTATATTAGGTTTGTACTGCTTAACGGACATCTCTGGGCAAACCAAATATCTACCCTTGCAATGGGTCTAAGGCTGCACTGCAAGGGTTAAGTGCTCATTTTCGTCTAGGGGCTGGAATAAAGCAAATTTGTGGCTGGAGAACCTCTATACAAAATGGACCCAAAGCATGATTTTTAGGCCTTCAAACAAATCAACCAACAAAACAGCCTCCTCTCTTCTGGGTACCTGACAGATCCCTTTCTTTAATTAACCAAGGTGCTTACGGCTTTTGCTGAATGAATCCAGATCTCTATATGTACTGGCTACATCAATCTTTTCACCACTACAAGTCCTTGTTTTTGAACTGTGCAGTCCACCATTTCAGTCAACCTTTATTTATATGAAAGGATCAATCTATTTTTGTGATAACCATTCATAGCCCAATGTATATGGTGCATATAAAACCGTCATGTTTTTACGATGAATTAAAAAAAAAAAATGTTGCAGAACAAGCTTTGCCTTGTTTGGGATGTACTTTATTTTTATCTTCAGACATCAAGTGGAATCCATGTTGTTATTGTGTGTATATATTTTGTAACATGTATTAAAATTTTAAAGCAGCGGATATTTTAAAGTGCTGATGTTAAATTATAATAATTGTAATCGGTTCAGAAGTTTAGAGACCTTTTTTTGCTATATTAATAGGTGTTATTTTTTATTTAATTGAAAAGTGTTTAAAAAAAGAAAAAAACAAGAATCCATGTTTTTCATAAACATGTTGTAGACAAGCTTTCGAGAGTTAACCGCTCTTCTTCAGGTCAGAAGAGATACAGAGGCTCTGGTCAGAGGTTTCAGGACAGTATCACTTCTGACCTGAAGAAGAAAGGTTAACTCTCGAAAACTTGTCTTTTAAATATTATGGTAGTCCAATAAGGAAGGTATCATTGCATACTGCAGTACTCCATTTTTGTTTTACATCTTGTCTACTGGACGAATAGGGCTTATTCATTTACATTACACACACACACACACACACATATATATATGTGAGTTGTTTTAACTGCCTGTCTGGCAAGGGATGAGACCTGTTTTTTTCTTTGCTGCTGTTACTAAACATGTGCCATTCATTTTGTTCTGAATTGAAATTCGTACAAATTTCTGTAAATTCGGACATTCCGCTGCATCCGAATGATCGAAATAACAAATCCGAATGTTTGATAACGAAATTCAGATACATATGAATTTCCTTAGGAACAAAACACAGAAGCGGGAGAGCTGTCATTTAGTGCTCTCTGGCTTCTCTGACTTGTATCCCGAATGAAAACAAAGTAACAGAATATTGTTACAAAATGTAAATAAAGCAAGAAGCTGAGAGATCCGTGTTATCCTGTAACAGCTTCTGCTTCTTTGCTGACACTCAGATCCCAAATGTAAAGAATCTGACAGCTATTACAGAATACACTAAAGTGTTAAACAGTCCACAGAAACAATAATAAAAAACAGTGGGGTTTCCCTGCCAATTCATACCAGACCCATTAGGTATGTTAGGAATTTTAGGGGGACCCCCACGCCAAAACAATTCCCCCTAAAATCCCATACCAGACCCTTAATCTGTGCAGCAGCCTGGCAGGGCAAGAAAGTGGGGAAACGATTGCGCGCCCCCTCGCTCCCTACACCATTCCAGGCCACATGCCCTTGGCATTGGGAGGGTGCTGATGGGGACAAGGACCTCTTTCCCACGACCCTGGTCTGGTGTTTGTGGGTGTCTTTGAGCAGGGGGGCTTATCTGCAGTTGTACCCATATTCATTCACTAAAGGGTTAAAGAAGAATTATGAGGTGATGAAACACACTCATCCCCATTCAAGCCGACCTGTGATACGGAAGCGGTCACAGGTCGGCTCTATTGGTCGGGTCACATACCGCCGATCACTGACTTCCTAATCCTCTCCCTGTAGAAAGCAGTCAGTCACCGCTCCCCGCAAGGGATTCCCTCCTCCCCTCACCGTTTCTCTACCGCTGATTGGAGGAATGGATGGGGGAGGGCACAGCTGGCTTTGCAGAGCCAGCTGTCGATCAGCCAGCAGGGTGGATCTGGACGGTATTTCCAACTGTGGCACAGCTTTGTGCTCTATAGCCTGCTATATTCTGAGTTTTGGGTCACCAGAGGACATAGTATATGTTCTCCTGTGACCCTGGAGGGAACTATGGCCAAAAAAGGTTCCCCCATAGTTCTCTTTGAATGGAACAAAAAACACAACACAAGTTTTGAACAATTCCTTTATTATTTTGTCAATCACAAAAATAAAAAAACACCCGCCACTGACTGCCCGAAGCAAAGTTTGCAGTGGGCAGAAATAAACAAAGCCTACCACTGGATATTTCAAATTGAAATAGCCAATAGCAGGCTGGCTAATGCTCCGCTCACTGCCTGATGTCAATCACAGAGGAGCGGACCTGAGAGAGAACTTTCTCTCTCAGGTCCGCTCCTCTGCTGATTGACATCAAGCAGAGAGAGAGTGTGTATTTATTTACATTTTATTTAACTCTTTAGTGAATGAGTAGGGGTACAACTGCCCCTTATTTGAAAGGGGGGGCAGCATCTGGGTGCCCCTTTATGAAAGGGGGTACCCAGATGCAGATGAGTCTCCCTTGCCCGCAGACCCCCACAACCACTGGGCCAGGGTTGTGGGGAAGAGGTTCTTGTCCCCATCAGCATCCCCAAAAGTACCTTCCCAATGCCGAGGGCATGTGGCCTGGTATGGTGGAGGGAGGGGAGACCGCTTGCTCACACCCCCCTGACCTGCCAGGATTAAAGGTCTGGTATGGGATTTGCGTGGGGACCCCACATTTTTGGGAGTTTTTTTGGTGCCGCAGTCCCCCTTAAAATTCCTACCAGACCTAATGGGTCTGGCATGAATTGCCGGGGAACCGCATGCTGTTTGTTTTTTTTTTAAATTGTTTCTGTGGACTGTCAAAAGTTAAAAAGAAACAAAGTAACTCAAACTCAATCAATCAAACTGGATTACAATAGGGCACAGTTGCTCTGATAAAGCTGCACTCCACACAACACATATACAATACAGTATTGAATATATATATACATACGGTATATTTAAAATATATATATATATTCATTCAATACTGTATTGTATATGTGTTGTGTGGAGTCACTGTGCCCTATTGTAATCCAGTGAATTGTTTTCACATGTTTGATACAGCTTGGCCCAATAGCCACCCATTCACTTCTATGGTGCACTACTTCTACAGCAGGCTGCTTGGCCCGACAGCCATCCATTTAGTTCTATGGCAGACAGGTTGGCCCTGTGGTCAATCATTCCCTTCTATGGAAGACAGGCCTGGCAGCGACCAATTCACTTCTATGGTGGAGTACTTCTACAGCAGACAGCTTGGCCCATTTAACTCTATCGTGGTAAGGTTGTCCCGGCAGCCATCCATCCAATTCAATGGTGCACCTCAACGCATAGACTATTCGGGGGTATCAAGATAATATAATACACACTTGGAAGCACATAGAGCAAGAGTCCATAATTATTATTATAATACAGGATTTATATAGCGCCAACAGTTTGCGCAGCGCTTTAAAATATAGGGAAGACATTATAATTACAATAAAATTCAAGACAAGATGGCAAGGAGGGCCCTGCCCGTGAGGGCTTACAATCAACAATATGGCCGACTCAATGCGAGATTTCGCCACACGCAACATGGCCGAGCTCCGCCCTGTTTCTATGGCATCAGCCAATCGCGCTAACGCCGGAAGTGGATTGCACGTGTGCACCAGGGAGCTGCCATGGACTCTCTGCTCCTACCTGAGGCTGTGGGAATTGATGGGGCCCCGGAGGTGTCAGTCACCATGCAACCGAAGAGGAAGATGTCCCTGTGCAGGTGAGGGGAGGGAAGCTGACATGCTGATCATGTGCGGGGTCTAATACTGGAGGGGAAAATGTCGGTTACCTGGCAGTTGTTTATTTTGTAAATGACTGAAATCCAATGCTGTCTTTGTACCTACTGGTCACCATACAGGTCAAAGAAACAGCTCACAGGAGAGACAATAGTTGACCTCTGAGTGTTCACAAAATTATGAATTCCTCACCCTGAGGTAACAACTTTTGTAAGACTCCATTCAAGGTGTGTGTGTGTGTGTGTGTGTGTGTGTGTGTGTGTGTGTGTGGGAGCCGCCGCCAATCAGACCAAAGAAGTATATTGCACCATAAATGCATAGTACTCTGGACATGTAGAGCGCATGGTACTGCAAGGTGTGATGGGGTTGCACAAACAATGCAATCCAATGTTAAAATCAAACTAAATTTGCAAATGAAATTTGTAAAGCCTCTGATGGAATTATCGTATTTTCAGGCCGGATTTTCCCCATGAGTGTTCGTGTCTAGTGTGTGCACTCCCCATACATCCCGTCTGTCTCTGATAAGAGGTTAGACTTCAGCAGCCATCAGCACTTCCATGCAAGTTAATGAGCTGAAGGCTATATGTCACCGAGCAGTCCCCCCTCTAAAGGCATGCTGAATGTTTCTTTCCCGGAGAACCTCCTTAGGTGGATGGCACATATTGATGCTGTACTAATCTTCTATTGGCATTGGACTGTTCTGACTGATCTTCTATCCTCTCTAGCTGTGAGACCTGTGGAGGTGAAGAAGCCAGGTATAAATGCCCCCGCTGTATGAAGTACTCATGCAGGTAAGTTGACCATTTTGCATTCTCTTAACTCTTCTGGTTACTGCGCTGTGGAACATTCACAGATTCTTTTCCTTTTCCTAGCTTACCCTGTGTAAAAAAACACAAAGTGGAGTCTGCGTGCAACGGGGTCCGAGACAAGACGGCCTTTGTGGCCTTAAATACATTCAGCGACATACACCTGCTGAACGGTGAGTAATAACCTGAATATTGGTCAGCATGTCATCCTGGGCACTGAAAGCGCAAAGGGTATTTACGAAAACTGAAGCAGCTGTGCACACTAACCAATCAGCTTCTAGCTTTCATTTTAGAGTTCAGCTGAACAAGATGAAGATAGAAGCTGATTTGGTTATTGTGCACACCTGCACCAGATTCTGTCTATTCAAGTTTTAGTAAGTTGCCCCGAGACAGACAGAGGAGTGCGCTTTATATTGGGCAGTCTGCATTTAGCGGGTTTCAGTGCGCTAGCGTATTCATTATTTTCTAGTTTGGGTTTGAAAGGTGATATAGGGCTAGTTCACACCAGCCCCAGTGCGTTCCAACCCGAATGTTGCCGGAATGCACTGGATTGCATTCCGGCTGGCTCACTTTGTTTTGGGGCGGGAGGGGGCATGGAGGTGCATTGAACTCAATGGCACCGCAGCCATGCCCACCGGCCACAGTGCGACCATTCGCACAGGAACGCATGGCACATCAATGACTGTGTTCCAGTCAGGTGTGTCAGCAAAAATAGTGCATGCAGCATTTTTTCTGACTGCACCGGACCGCAGGCATTGATGTACCACGCGTTCCGGTGTGGCCGGAGGGCATGGCTCCGGTCCATTGAGTTCAATGCACCACCATGCCCCTTCCCACCCCAAAACAAAGTGAGCCGGTCTGGAATGCGATCCAGTGCGTTCCGGACACTAGGTGTCTGTTCTTCTCTATGTAGAGCAGGCAGAACACAGCTGAAGGGAGGGGTTGGCATGGTGCTGTACATACCTTCCTGAAAACATACCTGCCGTGATAACACCCACATGTGAAATCCAATGAATGAAAGGGGTCGGCCAGGGACAGTCTGGTTAGGAAAGAAAGATGATGCTGTTTGTCTTCCAGCCAGGAAATGAGCTGATCTGTGTATTTTCAGTAGAGAAGCCTCTATGTCTGTGCAAAACTGAATGGAAGGCTGGAGTCCAGCTTGAAAAAGAATCTGTCACTTTGACGAGGTCAGAGTGGCCGGTTCCCTTGAATGACCACACCGCAGCCTTTGAAACTTGCTTCTGCAGAGCTCCCCCACCACTCTTTGTCTGTGGGAGCACGGGGAAATGCCAACTATTTTGAAGGTAATAGAGTGTGTGTGACCTTCCCTTCTTCCTGCCAGGATGGAGTGCTCGTGTCTGAGCATCAGATCACCAGGTTAGAACGCTGGCTCCTGAGATGCACAGAAGTTCCATTTTACTATTCTGGATTTGTTCTCGTGCCAAAAAGTGGCCCCTCATTAGCCTAATTTAAACAAGTAAAAAAAAAAATTTTTGAAGCGACAGTAAATAAGGAAAAAAATGGAACTGAGAGTTTACTATTCGGTGACATTTCGCCCATGGTGAATTTAATTTTGTCAATCGCTCAACGCCTCTGTAACTGAGCTGCCGGTGTCTGTGACTGAGCTAGGTGCGTCTCCTGCTATTGTAATGTATTATAAGGTGCTCTGTTTTCTTTCACACATCAGATTATCGTTTTCTGGAAGATGCCGGAAGGGTGTCTGACTGCACTTCAAGAGACACATCGTTGTTGCGACACACAACTAATAAATTTGTAAGTACATTATGGTCATCATTGAAGATTACTATTATGACTTTGCAGGGAGCCCATCTTGTTGGGTTCGATATTTGCAGTGCATTTCTCTGTAAATTCACATAGAGGTGCCACCAGGGGGCAGTGGTGCCCTCATGTTTGAGGTCCTGGGGAGTTTAACCCCTTCATGACTGAGGCCTTTTTTTCATTTTTTGCACCCATGTTATATTCCACATTTTAGGCCTGAAAATGACTTTAAACCCCCAAACATTAATATGCTGTGTACGTCGCCAGTCACAAAGGGGTTAAAAACTGTGCAGCTAGGGGTGGAGAACCCAAAATAATAGCGTTTCCATGGGACCTAAAACCACACAAGGGAATTATAATAAACCTATACATTCATTAATTTCACTTTTAGAAGCATGCATTTATTTAAAAATGCTGGTAGTGCTTGCCTCTGTAATGACCAGGACCCTGTCCAAGCAGGCGGTTGATAGGTACAATAGGCATGGTGGACTCCCCTTAAAGGAGAACTATGGGGTCAGTGTTTTTCCCCATAGTTCTCCTTGGGGTAACGGGAGGACACAAACTAGCGTCCTCCCGTTACCCTAAGCTCAGTATACTGCGAGCTACAGCTCGCGGTATACTGAGACGCCGCACCTGGAGCGGATCCCGACTTAGATGACGGGATCCGCCCAGCTGCGTGAGTGACAGCTGGCTCTGCCTATCTAGAGGCAGAGCCAGCTGTACCCGCCCCCTCCCCCGTCTGTTCCGCCAGTCAGCGCTGGCAGATCGGAGCGGGGAGAGGGGAATCCAGCCCCTCCCCCTGTCACGGCAGAGAGCCGTGACAGGATCGAGAGGTGAGGGAACCCGGTATGTTTTCCCTCACCTCCCGATCTACTGAGCCGACCTGTGACAGTCTCATTGTCACAGGTCGGCTTAGAACTATGACGTGAGTGGAAATCACTCATGTCATAGTTCTCCTTTTAAGTTCTGTATACGGCAGCAACTACTTGCCTTCTTGCACCAGCACCGTATCTCTGGGGGCTTCTGGCAATACTGCCTCCAAGGTTTTACCCCTGGTGTCATACCAGTGGCCAATCAGGCACTGCTACTTTGCCTAGCCGCATGCTTAAAGGGCTGGTGTGTATGCTGGACAAGTGCCTGTGCAACGTTTGTCCAAGTGATGCCAAGCCCTTTTTCAAAGCTACCCTTCAGACCATACCAGCGTTCCATGGGCCTCCTGTGGCTCTGCATACCTAAGCACTCCTGTGACCCTGCAACCCTGAGCACTCCAACATTTCCTGAGCCTCCTGTGACTTTACATTTCTCAGCTCTTCAGTGTTCCTTGAGTCACCTTTGGAGTTTATGGGGAAGCCTCACTGCACTTTGTTGTAGCTATTAGCAGCTTTCCTAGACTACTGTGCGGTGAAGAGGTTGGCTGTACCCTCTGTCCATTGTGCTCTGCAGTTGGTGCCAAACTAGACCACAGTTGTCAGGTACTCGTGTCCCCCCCACTCATTTTGTTTAATTGGTAACCTCTGGGTACCTGGTCCCTTTCGGGGCTTTAACATGGTGGATGCTTGTGCACACGCTGTATGTGGGATCGCTCATACATTTCGGTACAGGTGTCCTGGTCTTGTGGTTACAAGCTTTATTTGCATGTCCACTAAAAACAAATGTGGTTGTTTTTTTATTTCTTTAGTTGAACGTCTTAAAGAGTAAAGCTCGGAAACATGACATAGATCTGAAAATTCTGCCAATTGGGTTTTCAAAAAGAAGAGCAAATTCTACATTTTATAACAGAAAGTAAGTTTTTATTTTGCAGACTGTATGACACTGACATTCCGTCCGGTTCTACTTGTGATATAACATTGATGCTGCAAGCCACTTATCCTGATCTGTAAGTTATCCTGGGTCTGCAACCCCCCTCTGCCAATCCCTCCACTGGCTTCCAATAGCCCAAAGGATAAAATTCAAAATATTAACAACCACTTACAAAGCCATCCACAACTCTGCCCCCGGCTATATCTCAAACCTTGTCTCAAAGTATCACCCTAACTGTCCACTCCGCTCCTCCCAACACCTCCTACTCTCTAGCTCCCTCATCAACTCCTCCCATGCTCGCCTCCAGGACTTCTCTAGAGCCTCTCCCATTCTTTGGAACTACTTGCCCCAACCTGTCTGTCTATCTCCCACTCTGACTGCCTTTAGGCGATCCCTTAAGACTCATCTCTTCAGGGAAGCCTATCCTACCTCAACCTAACCACTGAACCGTTCTCAAACAATTCATCCCTACACAGCTTCCACCTCTTGTATCACTTGCCCCTCCCTTTTAGATTGTAAGTCCTCACGGGCAGGGCCCTCTTTACCATCTTGTCTTGAATTGTGATGTACTGTCTTCTTTATATTGTAAAGCGCTGCGCAAACTGTTGGCGCTATATAAATCCTGTATAATAATAAATATAGGCAGCTTCTGAATCAAACTGCAGGCTGTATGATGGATAAGCCACTGCTGACGGGTCATCCATTTGTGTTTGTAAATTACAGCTTGAGCAATTAAGTTTTGTAAGCAGTTTATTTAATCAAAGAAGCAAAATGAGAACCTGAAAAAGGAACACTCCACCTGTTGGCTTAAAAGCAGAATGCAACATATTAATGAACGATAGTTCATACTTACCTAAAAAGAACATTGTTTTTTTTGTCCTGTTAGTTCTGACCTTAAGGCCCGGTTCACACCTGGGTGTTTTGTAGCGCGTTCCTACGCTCTGCAAAACGCTCAAACACCTAGATCCCATTATTTCCTATGGGTATGGTACACACCTGGGCGTATTACAGGCCGTATGAACGCGCTACAAAACGCCTTACGCCCAAAGAAGTACAGGAGCTTCTTTGGGGCATTTTTGTCACGCGTTTTCATTGGGATACAGCCAAGTAGCCCTCGGAAACGCGCGTTTGTCGCACGTTTTTACTGCGAAATGCGCGACATGAAACACGCAACAAACGTGCATATTCAATACGCCTAGGTGTGAACCCAGCCTAATAAATAAACTATGTCCAAAACCACTATACATTCCCTTTTTAACATGCATTCATCCAGCATATAGTATTGGAACCAGGGCTGGACACATCCTAGGAGTGCAGTAGCCATTGCATCTTAAAACGTTACTGCTAGTGCCGGCCCTATTTGAGCGCTTACTGTTATTAGTACCAACATACGTTCATTTACCTCTTAAAGCGAAACTGTAGCGTGGCAGAGGATAGACAGTTTTTGCATTGATGTGAAAATAATTTTGGGTTTGTAGTCAAATTGAGTATTCGCCACAACTGTGGCTCTGAAAGTGTTAAGACTAAAGCAAGTTTTGGCCACTGGGTGTCTCTCTAAGCATTGGAACGGCCAAGAAAAAGGCATTTTATTGAAATCTCTTTAGTTTTGTGTCTCTTGCCTTGGGAGGTCTTTACACTAACAATATGGAAATGACTGTTGAAGTAAGCAAAGACGTTATTCTTAATCCTCCAATCATTGAAAAAGCCTGTTCTAAGTAGCGTGCCAAATGACAACAATATTTGTGTCATTTTTATTTTTGTATTTCCTCCAAGCAGTTTAGCTCTTTGGAGTATTGTATAAAGTGTGTATAGTCATATATAACAGCTTACCAGTCCTTAGATGTGCTGATTGCATTCTTTATTTCTTAGGCTTTTTTTCCTCACTTTTACTTTCACCTGGTAATCCTGTGAATAAACACACTTCCTGTCCCTGGTGGCTACATTTACTCCTCCACTGTATTTATGGAGGAAGCCAGGGTTGTCACCCATGCTGGACAGGAAACATGCCTTCCTCTCTATCTTCATTACCTGGAAGGAAGATAACAGAAGGAATATAACATTGTTTTATGCTTTCAGTTCAGCTCACTAGGGTAAGATAAAACAGAGTCTTCTGTGGTTGGACAAAATGTTCTTATGAAAGAAGAAAACAAACACAGACACCACACTTGAGGACTGTTAGGCTGCACTATAATTACACTGTTGTTCTTGGGTTTAGAAATCCTTTTCATACGACTGCGAGTGCTTTTGCCCTCCACAATTGTAAAGAATGTTTGGCTGTGCAATGAAGGAGTAACGGGTTTGACCCGGATTAAATGGTATGCGACAGTCCCTATATGTCTGTGCTGGTGTGGACAGCTTGTAGCAAAAGTGGAATTTGAAAGCTTCCCACAGGCCATAAAACAGCAGTCCAGAGGTGTTGTTGCCTCTCCGTTATTCTGTTGTGATAAACATGCACGGTTACATAGGCTGAGCATTCATGTTTGTCTGTTGCAGAAACCCCTGGCCTTATCATGAGTCGAAATCTAGCAGTCAGCTGAGAAAATAAATTGAGATCAGCCAGCCTAAGGGTGACTGCTGCACTCAGGGTTAGCAAATTAACTACAGTGTTTTCCCAGTTTTGTTAACCCTTGCAATGGGACTACCCTCGCCCTGCAAGGGTTAAATGCTTCTTTGTGTCTTGGTTAAAAAAAGTTATACTTACCCGATCCTCTGAGCCAGGGTGCTGTTAGACCGGTCGCTGGAGCCTCACTTCCCCTCCACTGCAGCAATCTAAGGATCACAGGCTATAGGACGTGAGGACGATGCTGAGGGACATAGCTGCAGCAGAGGAGGAGACAGAGCACTGTCACAGCCAGCCGGATCCGGGGTTTGGATGAGTATAACTTGTGCCTAAAGCAACAGGTTCACTTTAATTCAGACACCTACTGTATACTTATCTTCCTTTTGCTCCTACAACCCTCTAGCTGTTGGCAGTGAAAGTAAGGACCTGTGTAAGATCTGAGTCCTGCAGTTGTATCTAATACAGGGCTACAGACTCCCCAGATGACATCACTGACTGGCCCAGCCTTGTCACCTTCTCCCCCTTATGTATCTGTATGTTCTTTTGGTATTAGGGGACCACAGGAAAGGTATGTATATGATGTTGTGCATGCACTATTTTTTGCAACTGGACCGGACTGCGGGCATTGCTGTGTCACACGTTCTGGTGCAGGTGGCGTGACTGACGTGCCTGGGGTAGGCACACCAGCTGTTGTAGAACTAAAAGTCCCATGGGGCATTGCAAAACACTTGACAGCCACAGGCATGACTCCCAGAGGCATGAAGGGATTTGTAGTGCTAAGGTTGCCTACCCCTCTACTATAGTGATCTCACTGTTTTTATCTTTCGAATGCATTTTGTTGAAGCTAGACACCCTCTGCTCAGATTACAAAACAATTTGCACGCATGTACTCTGAACCCTCTGCTTGATTAATTCACCCGCTGCAGAGTCTAATCATTTCCTTCAGTAACAGGAGCGCCAAGGTCCGGATTCGTAAACATCCCGATCATTTATCCTGAGAAGTTTGTATTCAGGCATTGAGCTGCGGTGAATCCAGTCTGGTTCAGCCCGATGTTTACTCTGCGTCTGTTTTGTGATTGTCACTGGAATTCTGAATGGCGTGTAAGTTGTATCACAGTTGGTCGAGACTCTTCACACCTCGGCGAGGCCTATATTAAGGTGTAGTCTGGTTAGAGGAGAGTAGCCCCAGGATGTGAAATGTAATGGTCCTCTGCCAAATTAAACTCAATTGACAGTCCATTCTTTTTCCACGCCGTAGAATGAGTGTGCCTCTGTATACTGCAGCCTAATGAAAAGGTGGAAATTCCTGGCTCGGTAAACATAGTCCTTCATTCACATGCAGAGGGTCGGAGTGCCACAGCTTTGGATGCAGTTCAGAGGATGGCAGCTGCTGGTACAGACTAGAGAGGGGTGTCTGTGGCTGCTTCTGATGTGGCAGGATGTTGAGTTGGCGTTCATGCAGCTATGTACTCAGGTGCCGCAGGCAAAGAGGCCTGATGCATCTCCCCTCTATATTAGTGAGATGTTATGTACCCAGAGGTGTAAACCAGGGGTGGACAGATTCATATGGGAGCCAGCTCCATTGACGACCAACAAAAGCTGGGCACCTGCTGGAATTTTTAAGGAGCACCCCGGTTTTGTATATATATATATATATATATAATTATTCATTTTATTAAGGTTAGTGACCGTTTACAGTAAACACAAGTTATGTAATTTGCTTTATAATGGCTGCATACCTTCCAAAGCGTATCTGAACCCAAAACTGTAATCTATTGCAGCATACCTGTTCTTGGATATAGTGGCTGCATTCATTCTTGTTCCCTTAGTTTCAGCTGGTGGATCCTACTGGTAACATACTTGATGACCTAGGGGACACTATGAGACAGTACAGCAGAACCCTCTCCCTTTCCTCTTCTATTTTACACCAAGGGAAGGGTTTTTGTAGTTCTCGGCTTGGAAAATTGTAAACGAGCACAGGAAGGTATAAGATTTCTGGCAGGATCAGCAGGTATTTTTGCTACTTAACCATACGAAAGCAGCATAAAAAAAGACTAATAAATAAAAGTTCATTGTTAAAGAAGAACTCCAGGGAATGTAGAAATGAACCCTTGCAGTGGGGCTACCCCTGCACTGCAAGGGTTAACTGGTCGTTCCTTATCTCCTAAAATAAGGAAAATACAATCTCCTGATTTTTAGGCCCCCTTGCCTGCTAGACCGGTCCCTGCAGCCTCTTCTTCCCCCCATCTCTGGCAGTGTAAAGACCAGTGACCATCATCACGTCTAATGCAGCAGCATTAGGCGTAGGGATGCCGCGCAGCATACCACCGCCACTGTGGAGGGGGAGAGAGGTGGGTGCTCACCGCCATAGGACTGAGGATCAGGTGAGTATATTTTCTTAATTTTAGACCAAAATGAGCAG